CTTATGAGTCCGAGTTGTGCCTCTTTGAGATATTATGAGTCCGAGTTTTAGATGACTCGGATGTACCGACTGTCGGTGACAGTCCCCGAGTATTCGGGGGTGCTTTTATGCTTTGGCTCTTGAGCCGTTTCCCGTAGGATTATAAGTGTAGAGCTCGTATAATAGTAGACTTCTTTGAGATGCAAAGTGTTTTTGATATAAACAGAATGCTTTTTCAAGTAATTCGATACATGCGTAAATGTTCTGCCGTCGAGGCTTGATTATTCTATATGGACACGGTTCATCTGACCGTTTGGACCATTACAACATTTTCCTATCGAGGCCCTCCTAGGCGTGAAGTGTTTTTCTTGAAAATACAATCTCCGAGGGTGATGCCCCCCAGTACTCGAGGTTGGTTGAAAAGGAGCCTCGAATACTGTTGAGTTCTCCTTAGGTAGCACATAATTGTTGCCTCGTTAAAAACCTTGCCGGTAAAACCCATTTGGGATAAAATCCGAGCTAAGGAAAAAAGAGTGCAACGTGTTCTTTAAAACCTAAGGCCTTCGTGTAAAAAGGTATGTCTTCGAGATCGCGCGCCTTTGAGAGCATCCATCGTGCCGAGTTTGTAAGATCTTTTGTAAAAAACTCTGAGGTCTTGGTACGGTCTTGTCTTTCTATCCGTGATCGTGATATTTTCGAAAGCCTCGATCTGGTCGGGGATGATTTTGATACCCCGATTTTACACTATGAAGCCGAGAAACTTACCCAAGCGAACTCCGGAGGCACATTTCTCTGGGTTAAGCTTTGTGTCACATTGCCTCGAAACTTGAACGTTTCCTGCAAATGAATTAAAATGGTCCTTTGCGCACAGGGACTTAACCAGTCATATCATTAAGATAGGCTTTTGTTGTTTTACCTGTTTGTTTTTCGAGCATCTTGTCATCTGGATGTTGGTACGTAGCTTCTCGGACTAAGGCCGCCCTTTTAGCTTCACTGGTTTAAACCTGGGATCAATGCTCAGCCTATGTGTGGTGATTTCCGGCGGAATCCCTATCATATCTAAATGGAACCAAGCAATGTAATCCATATTATCAATAAGAAACTAAATGAGTTTTTTCCTGAGTTCGGGGGGTTAATCCCGTTCCCAAGTGTACCTTTCCCTTGAGCGGTCGACTTGGTAGCATCGGACTCCGCGGTAACAACGAAGGTTCGAGGAGTAAGGAAGTTTGCTTCTTTGCCTTCGGTTACCTGTTATTCTGATTCCGTCGGGGCTGGGAGCTGTGATTGTCACTTAGCCGCCTGCTTACCTTTGGAGCTTGATTTCTCTGAGGCCAAGGGTTCTGGTATCGGCACCACTTCCTCCATTGCAAACATCTCTTTTGCAGCATGCTGTTCTCCGTGGACTGTTTTCGCTCCTTCCTTTGTCGGGAATTTCATTATTTGGTGGAGAGTCGAAGGCATTGCCCTCATGTTGTGTATCCATGGTCTCCCGAGGAGCGCGTTATACCTCATGTCACCTTAGATGATATGGAACTTGGTGTTTTGTATGGTCCCGGCTACGTTTACCGGCAAGATAATCTCTCCCTTTGTTGTTTCGCTTGCCATGTTGAAGCCATTCAGCACCCGGGATGCGGGTACAATCTGATCTTGCAGGCCAAGTTGTTCCACGACCCTCGATCTTATTATGTTTACCTGTATCCACCAAAACACGTTTAACTTAAATTTTATTTAAACGAATAGAGATTATGAAGGCGTCGTTGTGAGGTTGTGATATGTTTTTTGCTTCCTCGTCGCAGAATGACAGGACGTCCTCAGGCACGTAGCTACGAGTCCGCTTTTCTCTTGTGATTGACACTTTGGTGCGCTTGAATATAGGATGTTGGGGGACATCGACTCCTCCAATGATCATGTGTATTACATGATGTGGTTCTTCTTGCTCGTTTTTCCTTGCATTTCTCTCCCTGAAGTGGTTCTTGGCACGATCACTTAGAAATTCTCGAAGGTGGCCCTCGTTGAACAATCGAGCCACCTCTTCCCTTAGCTGCCGGCAATCTTCTGTTCTATGACCGTGCGTACCGTGATACTTGCACATCAAGTTCGGGTTTCTTTGAGAGGGATCGGTTTGTATGGGCCTCGGCCACTTGGTATATTTGATTTTTCCGATAGCCGACACGATCCCTGATGCATCCACGCTAAAGTTGTACTCTGACAGTCGGGGAGCCTCCGTGGGGTCGGTATGTTTATCGAACCCGCTCGTACTCATGAGTCCCCAAGAACTTTGCCCCCGATCGTTTCTCCGATCGCTCTGAGGAATATTACGACTTGGGCTGCTGTTCCTTCGGTCGGCATACGACTGATACCTTTCCCTGTTTGATCTCGAATACCTGTTTGTATCCCTCGGAGGCTTGGCCACGAACCTGTTAGGATGAACTGAGCCCGAGGGGGCTCCTAATTGGTCGTCCTCAACTCTGATTTTTGACTGGTAACGGTTGTGCACATCTGACCATGTCACAGCTGGATACTTGATCAAGTTCTGCTTTAATTGTCGAGAAGCAATTGAGCTTCGCTCGTTCAAACCCTGCATGAAGGCCTGTACCGCCCAGTCATCGGAGACCGGCAGCAGTTCCATTCTTTGCATCTGAAACCTGGACACGAACTCCCTTAACATCTCGTCGTTCCTTTGTTTTATTTTAAAGACATCCGATTTTCTCGTGGCCACCTTTATGGCCCCGGCGTGAGCCTTAACGAAAGCGTCCGCTAATATAGCAAATGAATCAATAGAGTTAGGGGCTAAGTTGTGGTACCAAATCATAGCTCCCTTTGAGAGTGTTTCCCCAAACTTTTTCAACAACACTGACTTGATTTCATCATCATTCAAGTCATTTCCTTTGATCCCACAAGTGTATGAAGTAATATGTTCGTTAGGGTCGGTTGTCCCGTCATATTTGGGTATATCGGGCATGCGAAATTTCTTAGGAATGGGCATCGGGGCTGCGCTCTGAGGGAATGGTTTTTGTATGAACTTCTTGGCATCTAGACCTTTCAAAACTGGAGGTGCCCCCGGTATCTGGTCTACACGGGAGTTATAAGTTTCCACCTTCTTGTCGTTATCCTCAATTTTCTTTTCTCCGGACTCGATCCTCTTAGTGATCTCTTCGAGCATTTTCATAATGGTGGGGCCAGTCCCCGAGCTGTCTCCATTTGGTCCTTCTGGCGTTGGTTCAGCACATTGATTGTTTTCATGTTCAGCTACACTCGAGGTCTTATTCTGACCTTGAAGTTGAGCGATGGTGATTTGCTGAGCCTGCAACATCTCAAATATCACTTGGAGGCTAACTCCTCCATCTCCTGCTCCTGGCTTTCCTTGGTCCCTCGGTCGAACATCCCTGCGTACACTCCCTTCGGGGTCTGTGCCTAGGTTGGTATTTATAGCAATATGAGAACCAACATCAACTGGTTCCACGTTTGGCACTCCCCTAGGGTTTGCCGGTGGCACATCGACCCCTACGTTGTTGTTCTCACCAAGACCTTCGTTGTCATGAACGGGTGCATTTTGTGAGCTAGACATGTTTCAGCCTGAAAATCAAAGATTCTTGACAAGAAAAAGTGTAAAAATAACGTGTGTAATAAGAATCGGTAAAGAAATAATCACTATTATCTTTAGCCCCACAGTGGACGCCAAACTGTTTACCTCGAAAAATACGAGTAACAATTAAATTTGATTGTGGTTTTAAAGATATGTGATTTAGTTCAATACCAATTAAGAATCAAGAAATATGAAGTAGAAACGAAAGATAGAAGTGACTCAAACCAATGTTACTTTGCAGCAGTGACCTCGAGACGGTGACCTCGAGGTGGCTTAGGACAGTAAGAACAACTAAATAGGAAAATCAAAGTAAGAACAATTAAGCTAAGGGACAATTCTGATGAACAGTAGGCAAAAAGTTAGAGAGTATATTCTTTTCTCAGTCAAAAAGGTGGTCTTACAAATGATTGGGGTTCCCTTTTTATAATAGGGGAACCGTAAATAAGGAATATTTCTATTTACAGAAGGGAATATTCTTATTACAGCTGTCTTACCCGCCTAGTACGGAACTGTACGATCCTATTCCGAAATTTGCGCCACGATCTCAGGGACGTGGCAGGAATCTAGCTCGCTCTGGTACAAATCCATAACGGTACTATTTCAAGGTCGAGCACACTTGACCTCGGAATTCCTCGAACTCCTGTTTCCGGGCATTACGCTTTTTCTTCGAGCTCGAGCATGGTCCACCGGCTTCGAACTTGACCTCTCCCGGACTTGGACCTAGGGCGGAACCTCGAGTTTCTACACCGAGGGCATATGACTTTGACCGTATACACACCTCTTATTGGTGGACCCGGCACAATAACAATAATCCAACCGATGTTATGCCTCTCATAGAAGGGAAAAAAACTAAAAGAATAAACAATTGAAAAGAAAAGGTAGTTGTTCAAGACACATTTTTAATAAGTTACCCGTATCTGATGGAAACTTGTGGAAAATTGAGGTATGATTGGTGCACTTTTGCAAAACACACTTTGCCACATTGAAATATTTTCAGATACTTGATTTAGAAGCTACGAACCACTACTACTAACAGCCAACTTTTAGTCACTATTTTGGAATGGTTTAAACCTATCAATGTATCCAAGAATGATTCTTCCTTTAGCATGACGAAAAAGCAATTTCTCATGTTGTTCTAGAAGGGGATCTTGCGTTTTAAAATAGGGTAAATTTATTAAAAGCAATTATCATGTCATTAGCAATACTTAATTACCCTTTTCTCAATTGCCTTAGCCTTATCACGTAATCTATATGTCACACTGAAACAACTTGTTCAATTCTTAGAATTTAAGTTTTATGGTAAATTTGGATACACATGTAACAAGTGAATTAGTTCTAACTCCACTTGAACTCCAAAAAGTGGAATATTCCCAAGAATTCAGCAGCATGTTTTGTAGGTTTTCAACTCTCTCGTGAAAAGATCAACTCTCTCATGAAAAGATATTCATCGAACATCTTCCCCAACCCCTAATATAATCTTCAAAGTTCGTAAACCCCCTATACAAAACAAAGGATCCTAATTCAATCTACTCTATCCAAATTCTTTCAATCAATATAAATTGAAATTTGAACACATCAAATTCGTATGCACTTTCTTTTCTTTTTGGGTAAATTGATGTGCACTTCGCCACTTCCTTATGAAACAATCTTGCCACGTGGCAGCAACCCAATTGGCCAAGTAATGGTAACCCTCCAGCCTAATCAAGCTGCCGAATTGCCACAACCATTTCGCCATGTTGTAAATTCCGTTAAAGCAATCTTTTTATAATTATTAGAGAAAAAAAAGAGTGGCAACCTAAGTCTAACCAACCAATTTGGAGTTTCGAACATTCACTTTATTACATACTTATAAAGTAATATATATACCTTCTTCTAGCTCCCCACAAACCATAAACAGAATTCTTTTCCGAAACTTCTAACACTTCCTACTTTGCTATAACCAATTTTCTTCTTCTAAAATGGATTGGACCAGAGGCCAAACCATAGGCCACGGCTCCTCTGCCTCCGTCTTCGTTGCTAAGTCACATTGGTCCAGCGAGATTTTCGCTGTTAAGTCAGTGGAGTTATCCCAGTCTCAGTTCTTGCAAAAAGAGCAGAAAATTTTGTCCGAATTGAGCTCCCCTTACATAGTTAGCTACAAGGGGTACGATGTTACAAAAGAGAACGACAAATTCATGTTTAATCTTATGATGGAGCACATGTCTGACGGTACACTTACCGATGAAATTCGGAAACATAATGGTCGGATCAACGAGCCTTTGATTGGGTATTATACCAAGCAAATTCTTCAAGGAGTAGAGTACCTACATTCAAGAGGCGTAGTACACTGTGACATTAAGGGACAGAACATTTTGTTAGGTAAAACCGGTGCCAAAATTGCCGACTTTGGTTGTGCTAGGTGGGTTGATCCGGCGGAGAGGGACGGCGGCACAGCTGCTGCTTCCGCCCAGCCAATTGGCGGCACGCCGATGTACATGGCGCCGGAGGTGGCGCGTGGGGAAGAACAGGGGTTTGCAGCTGATATATGGGGATTAGGATGTACAATTATAGAAATGGCCACAGGTGGATCACCGTGGACTAACGTAACTAATTCAGCTTCATTGCTTTACAAAATTGCATTTTCAGGGCAATCCCCAGAAATTCCAAAGTTTCTGTCTTTACAAGCAAAGGATTTCTTAAGCAAATGCTTTAGAAGAGATCCAAGAGAAAGATGGACGGCTAAACAACTTCTCAAACATCCATTTCTTGAGGAATCCAATTCGAATCAAGATTTTGTGACAAGTTCCCCAACGAGCATTCTTGATCAAGACATTTGGAAATCAGTAGAGGAGACAGAAACCATGGATTTTTGTTCAATAGAAACAGTAAGCTCAATGGACTCTGCTGTGCAAAGGGTAAGAGAATTGGGGTTGAATTCAGGAGTACCGAACTGGAGTTGGGACGATGAGAGATGGATAAGACTTAGAAGAAGCAGTGAATAACTCGCAGAAAGACAAAGCAATGACAGCTTTTTTCTAACTGTCATGATTATGAAATTTGAGAGCTGGTGTTGGAAAGAAACAGCTAACAATTTTGCTGTAAAGTTTGGTACTATACAGAACCCAATACAGATATGGAGTATATGTTTCTCCCAAAGGTGTGAGGTTTGCAAAAACCCGAGGAAGAAGAGGCAGGTTCCGGAGCCATTAACCAAGAAGGAATACAAAGAAATCCAACATAATATTCAAATGGCTTTTCTGTTATCTCTTGTGAACAGTGGGAGAAATTCAAATTTTGATCTTTAAACTTTTAAGTACAATTTTGTCTGCTACTTAATTCTCAGGATTTATCTATTATAGAAAAAATAACTTTACGTAGTAGTAGTACTAATGTCACAAGTGACGGCAAAAACGTAGACGGTGGCCGAGGAACAATTACCATTTGTTAGGCCTTTGGCTCAGTCCATGTTGAAAAAATATTGGGTAATATCGGCAAGAAACTAAACTAAAAGCAGTAAGAGTCTAGACAATTCCTCAATTATAAAAAATAAAAAAAATTAGGGTAATGAATTCCTCAATTATCGGGATAGTCGTGAATACTCTTGAAATACTATTCTATCAACCTTGAACTTAAAATCATGCGCTAGAATTTTCTTATTACCTTAGTACCTATTTGACTGGGCGCAACATTTGATACTTATAATCTAAAATAATCCATAGATATTTGTGTGACTATAACTCATCTCATTAAGGGTAAAATTAGAAGTTAAAAGTTTAATTTTTTAAAAATTTAGGAAGGAATTATTCTTTTTGAAAGTAGCTAAAAAGAAAATAGGTTTATTTTTTTGAAACAAAGGGATTATTATTCACAACGGTGTTCTTAAACTATTTTTCACAAGCGGGTATCTTTTCGGCTATTAACAGTTGGGCTTCGCCTCTGACAGGCTAACAACCACTGTTATTGTTGTTATTGGGAAAAATAACACCGTAGAGCCGCTTTCAAAATATTACCAAAAAATATAGTATATGTTATATACAAATTTTATATACTTTTTCTGCTACCAAATATAAATATTTCTTGTGCAGACAAAAAATGAAAAAAGCCATATATATGGCAAATAGCAAACTAAAACAAGTGGAGAAATTGAATAACAATGTGGAACGTAGTTTAGTCGGCAGTAGATTTAGTTTAGTAAGAGCATAAATGTGGAAGTTGGTTATGATAAAATTGATTAGATTAACCTGAAAATCGTGATTTAGTGTACAAACAACTTGTTTGATGATTACATCTTGATTTAGTTTGGAGATTAGGTTGGTAGCTTAGGTATTTCCCGTTTTGATGGGACTTTACATTTGGTAAACGTTAGATTTACTTATTCAATATATCCTGCTTTTCAGATGTAAAATATTTTTCCAAGAAAAGAAAGCAGTTGATTAATTGTTAAACGTCATTAACAAAAAGAGTTTATGGTTTAACAAACAATCATTTGGAAATATCTCAGCTTTCAAGGAAGATGATATTTTGGCATTATTTCCTTATCCCTTTGTTCTGTTTGTCACGTTTACAAAAGGTGCACCTACTTTTTTCCATGTTAACGAAATAATCATAGATAATTTTTTAGTGTAGGACATCCTACTATTTATTATCTCCGTCACTTTTTCTGATAGATTCTAACAATTACTAAATCAAAACCAGAAGATTTTCAAATATCAAAATAGTTGCCCATAAACATAAAAAAATTTGATACAACTTTCCAATTACATCAGTCTTACTAATGAATTATGACTATGTTTCTTTCTTTTGGCACTCATTCAATTTTGTATGTTCAAATTGGTGGTCCAATATTTTAATGAAAAAAATATTTTTTTCAACCAAGAAGATACTTCATATAAAAAAGGTATAACAAATATATAAGTAGCCATTTGTCATGCCTCCCAAACTTCCTCAAGTGGACTACTCTATTCTTTTGGATATTAAGGGGGCAAAAAGATATTCTCGACTAATTTTAAGAACCAATAATTTTTATTTAGATTCTGTATTTATATTAAATATATATATATATATATAAAAATATTTAATTGCAAAAAATGGGATATACCTTTCGATATTTGTAGAATGGAGGATTTCTTTTCTTTTTTTTATTGTTGAAGTGTGTCTTAAATACACTTCTTTAGCCGATCGGAAACAATCTCTCTATCCTTATAAGGTAATGTAAAGGCTGTGTACATCCTACCCTCTCCAGATCTCACTTGTGAGAATTCATTGAGGCTGTTGTTGTTGTCTCAAATACACGCTAGCCATGCTGCACATTTTCAAGCCACAGCAATAATTAGTGTATCTTAATGTGGAAAAAGAAACTAAAATAATGTTCTGAAAATTGAAAGACAAACAAATGGAGTTGGTTTGAAGAAGAAGTTTATAAAATTCTAATCAAATGAAAAGTGAGTGGTTAAGAAAGAAGTTGCAACTAATTGCACCAAAACTGCACTTTTCACTCTGCAAACAAAATAAGCCACCTATTTTGTTGTAAAGTGCAAGCTAACCAACGTTTATTTCTTTTTAAATATTTAGAGTACTTTCATTTAACAGTGATGGAAGTATTTTGAATCACGTTATACTCCTAAAGTTAGTTTGATTATTTATGGTAACAGAGAATAACAGATCTTAACAGAATCAAAGATGAGTTCAAAATCAAGAGATAATATTTGTGACAGTAAAAAGAAAATTCTTTGGTATATAAACTTTTTTCATGTCTGCATTTTACTTAATATACTGCTTAGTTAAGTACTAATATGTGTACTTGTAACAAGTTGATTTCTAAAATATATGGAAGTTTTTGTGACAGTTACTGAAAGTTAGTTCTGAAATAACTTGCAAAAAGATTAGTTTGAAAAAAAAAACTAAGTTTTTTATTTCATAGAAGGTTTGAAATAATAATATAATTCATGAATCATTTGATTTTTTTAAAACATAAAATTACACAAGAAATTAGTACTGAGAATATGTCAGAAATCAATCTAATTGGTATTGTAACCCAGAGAATCAAACAAATTCTTTGGCATTATCAAACTTCTACTTTGATCATAATTGTCACGATCCCAATTTCCCTCTCAAATACTCAGCAATTTTAATAAAGAAACTCCACATCTCAACATTTACAATTTTCCCTAAACCTGATGATATCGAGTCACAAGCCCCACAACGGTATCATAGTCATCCCTATGCAAGTGTATCTAATAAAAGGAGGAAACCATAGAAATAGATAGAAGGTGAATGCAAGGCCTGCGGACGCCGGCGGGTGTACCTTGAAGTCTTCGAGTACGAACTCCGCTCACTGATGCATGGACTGGTAGGAGATACCTGGATCTGCATAAAAAGATGTGCAGAAGCGTAGCATGAGTACACCACAACGGTACCCAATAAGTGTCAAGCCTAACCTCGGTAGAGTAGTGACGAGGTCAGGTCAAGGCTCTGCTATAATAAATAAGAAACAGGGCAATTAATTTAATGGTGCAATAATATTAACAATGGAAATGAAACAGGTAAGGGATATACCAAAATTAATTACACAGAATCAAGGCAAATAATGCATCACGGAAGAAAACAAATAAATGTTAAGGCAAGGAAACAAACAATCAAATACAAGTAAAGTAATAGAGAAATACCAACAAGAGTCACTACCAAGGTACCGCCTCGTAGTCTCAAATCACAAAAGTAATCCACAATCTTTCCTTATATCACCATGGGAGCCTTGCATTTAGTTTTAAAAATTATTTTTCCGAAATAGCATCCCGCGTTTTGGCCCACCTTATCACACCATATATCTTCTAGTAGTTCCCCTACTAGCCACGCGTATCAAGCTCACCTTTTTTCACCGCAAGTGTTTCAACCCCAAACCTTATACCACCGCGTGCGTATCAATATCACAACGTATCACAGATTGCACCGCAAGTGCCCAATATCACAACTTACCAAAGAAATCAATAATAACTGTGTTTTCACAATAAAGAGCTCATGGATCAACCACAATGTACAGAAGAATCTCAACAATAACAACCGGAAGTGAATAACTCAATAGAATAGTATTTCACAACTTAACACTTTGCCTCAATGGGAATCACGACTTTATAACTCAATACCAATTTGAACAACAAGATATTCCAAGAATGACAACTTCAAGTAAAGAGTTCAACAGTTAAATAATGGATACGGAATAAAAGAAATAAGAACATCAGCTAAACATATAGAGCAATTAGCAACAAGAGATAAGACAAGTAGAGCATGTGAAAGTATACTAATGATGATGAAGATAACATGTTAAGATAACTCAATTAAGGCATGAAAGGAATCTACATAGCTGAAATCGATAAATTCCACATGTAACCCGTGCACACACTCGTCACCTTGTGTACACGGCTTTCACACATTACAGTTATCACAAAAAACATCAATCCTAACCCCCCCTCCCCCCACAAGGTTAGGCAAGTCACTTACCTCGAAACGCGCTAACTCACTCCACTAGTAGGCCTTTCCCTCGATTATCCAACTTTAAACGGCTCGAATCCCAATAATTTCCTTGAAGAACCCACGAAAAATTGCCTTACACCGAGCTCTCTAGGTCCAAAATATGAAAAAATGAGATGAACACTCGATTTTGAAATTTTATTCTACTGCCCAGTGACTTACTCTTCACGAACGCGAAAAGTGCCTCGCATTCGCGAAGAACAAAAATGTTGGTGCCAAGATTCTTCTTACGCGAACGCTAGAACCCAATCGCGAACGCGATGACCAAACGATCCCAAGCTTCGCGAACGCGAAGTCTCATTCGCGAACGCGTCGACCAAACGCGTGAGGTCCCCCCAGCCTGCCTTTCTTATATGTAATGACACGGCCGGTCCTTTTGAGAGTTGTATCCCCGTTTTCTCATTTACTGTTCATTTTAGGCTTTGCAGTTATTATGTGACTTTCTGGGGTAGTTAGTTCGGGTCCGGAGGGATTTCGAATATGAATTGAGACACTTAGTCTCAAGGTTGGAAACTTAAGTTGAAAAGGTTGGCCGGATGTTGACTTATGTGCAAACGACTTCGTAATGGAGTTTTGATGGTTTCGTTAGCTTCGTTGGGTAATTTCGGACTTAGGAATGTGTCTGGATTGTGATTCAGAGGTCTGTAGTGGAATTTGGCTTCAAATGGCGAAAAGTTAGAAACTTAAATGTTTGACCGAGAGTGGACTTTGTGGTTTTCAGGATTGGATTAGAGTTACGCGGGTTGGAGTAGGTCTGTGGTGTCATTTATGACTTGTGTGCAAAATTTGGGTCAATCGGGAG